TTTTTTTTTTTTTTTTTGAGTCAGAGTCTCACTCTGTCGCCCAGGATAGAGTGGAGTGGCAAGCTCACGGCCACCCCAGCGTCGACCTGCTGGGCTCCGGCAATCCTTCTGCCCCAGCCTTCCAAAGAAGCTAAAACTACAGTTATGGGCTACCATGACCGGCTAATTTTTGTTTTTTAATTGTAGAGATGCGGTCTCACCAAGTTGCCCGGGCTGGTCTCAAACTCGCGGGCTCAGGCATTCCACACTCCTCGGCCTCCCAACGTGCTAGGATTACAGACTGAGCCACCCAACCTGGCCTATGCTAGAATTTTTAAAGTAATTTTTAAATCCATAGAGAAAAGGAAGCATCAGGGTGTAAAACAGCCCTAAACCCGCCATGAGGGAAGGAGCTGGTGGCGAGCATGGGGCAGAGGTGATTCCGGGAGCTGCGTTTTTCAGCAGCAACAGCTCTCAGAGGCAGCTGTGGGAGCAGAGGCTGTTTCAGCCTAGAGTGGAGGACAGGGCAGAGTCCCAGCTTAGTCACCTACTCAAGCTTTGACACTGGAAAGCCCAGGGTCTGAGCCCTGGAGTGGCACACTCGTGGCCACTGCCACCTCAACCCGCGGGGCTCAGCCGATCCTTCTGCTTCAGCCTTCCAAGTAGCTGGGACCGCAGGTGTGCACCACCACGCCTGACTGATTTTTTCATTTGTTGTAGAGACGAGGTCTCCCTATGTTACCTAGGCTGGTCTTGAACCCCTGGGCTCAAGCCATCTTCCCAACTCAGCCTCCCAAAGTATTGTGAGTATAGGCGTGAGCCACCGTGCCCGGCTTTACCTTGGGTTCTTGAACAAGGCATGCCACTTCTGAGTCTGTCCTCTGTCCTCATCTGTCAGATGGGGAGAAGACGCCTTACCTTGCAAGTCTGGTGAGCCTTCTGGAGATGTGTCTGCAAGAGCCCTCACACACAGCAAGCCCTGAAACGGTGGCTCTCCCGCATCCTGCAGGAGTTGTTCCCAGCGAGCAACAGAACCTTCTCGAAGGGGATGGGACTGAGAGACTCCTGGGCTCCGGCCAGATGTCAGAATGAGTTTGGGTGGGGGGAGGGGAACCGACTGAATGAGGTGACAGAGATGCGGTGCCAGGCATGACAGTGGGGGGGGGGGAAGGCATGGCAGAGCCTCTAAGGTACTTTCTATTCCTTCTACCCCTCATCCACCTCCAGGGCACGGGCGGGGCAGGGAAGCCTGGCACAATCATACCCAAGGAGCTTCCCAGGAAGCTTCGTGGACGTGACAATTCTTATGTTGCAGCTGCCCTTTTCCTATCCATTTTCATCCTCCCATCCATCGGATTTAGCTGTGTAAAGAGCCCAGAGAACCCCCAAAAGGGTCCTTGAGAGAGGCTGCAATCTCATGTTAAAAAGGCTGTCTTGGGCCGGGGGCAGCGTGTGGCTCGGGCATGCAATCCCGGCCCTTTGGGAGGCCGAGGTGAGAGGATTGCCTGAGCCTGCGGATTCGAGACCCGCCCGGGCAACGTGGCGAGACCTCGTTTCTACAATCAATCGAAAAATTAGCCGGGTGTGGTGGCCTGTGCCTGTCGTTCCAGCACCTTGGGAGGCTGAGGCGGAAGGATCGCCGGAGCCCAGCAGGTCGAGGCTGCGGTGGCCGTGAGCGTGCCCCTGCCCTCCGGCCTGGGCGACAGAGTGAGACTCTGACGCCAAAAAGAAAGTCTGAGGAGGAACATAATCGATGTAGTCCCCAAGCCTCTCCCCACAAAGGGAAAGATAGCAACTTTGTAGCAGAGGACCCAGGCAGAAACTACCTTAATTAACCAAGTGACCCAAATCAGTATCGCCAGCAATAAGATGGTAATCAGACACATCAATATCCGTTATCACGAACCACGTGATACGATGCACTTAGAAGGACACAAAAGCATTTCCTTGATATTCTAGCCCAAAACACCAGTCACCAGAAAACACGAGACAAACCCAAAGCGCATTTGAGAAAATAACTGATCACTACTCTTCAAAAGTGTCAAAGTCACGAAAGACAAGAAAGGCCGAGGAACTGTTTTAAGCTGCAGGAGACTAAGGAAAAATAACAACTCAATGCAATGGGTGGGGCCCGGCGTGGTGGCTCACGCCTGTCATCCCAGCACTCTGGGAGGCAGAGGTGAGAGGATCGCCTGTGCCTAGGTTGGTCTCCAACTCCGGAGCTTAAGCAATTCTCCTGCCTCAGCCTCCCAAAGTGCTGGGATGACAGGCGTGCGCCACCATGCCCGGCCCCTTACATATCCCTTCTGAATCACTCCTTCCCTATGGTATGTAAGCCCTGGGTCTGGAAGATAATGACAGGGACACATGTTCTTGTCTTACTGTCACCCAAGACAGACATGGCATCTGCTTGCAAGTCCTTATTAAATGTTTCTTTCTTTCTTTCTTTTTTTTTTTTTTTCAGTTGGGATCTCACTCTGTTGCCCACTGCAGCCTCAACCTGCTGGGCTCAGGCAATCTTTCTGCCTCAGCCTTCCAGGTAGCTGGAACTATGGGCATGCACCACCATGCCCGGATAGTTTTTTATTTATTGTGGAGGCGAGGTCTCGCCAAGTTGCCTGGGCTGGTCTTGAACCTGTGAGCACAGACAATCCTCTCACCTCGGCCTCCCAAAGTGCTGGGATGATCGGCATGAGCAACTGCTAAATATTTTCTTTTTAAGAAACTGGAAACCCTAGCAGTTAGGGAGGCGGAGGCGAGCTCAGGTTTCGAGACCGGCCTGGGCAACTTGGTGAGAACTCATCTCAACTAGAAATCAAAAAATTAGCCTGGTGTGGTGGCGTGCGCCTGTAGTTCTAACTACTTGGAAGGCTGAGGCGGAAGGATTGCCTGAATGCACCCATCCCTGTGGACACTTGCTTTGAGTTAGATGCCCTGGAGATGACACAGAGTTAACTAACTTCGCCAACCTGGGCCCATCACTCCTCTTTTCTGAAAATGAAAAGAAATGGTCTAGATGGTCTTTTTTTTTTTTTTTTGAATTGGAGTCTCACTCTGTCGCTCAGGCTGGAGGGCAGTGGCACACTCACAGCCATTGCAGCCTCAACCTGCTGGCTGGTGATCCTTCCGCCTCAGCCTTCCAAGTAGCTGGAACTACAGGCATGTGCCATCACGCCTGGCTAGGTTTTTTTGATTTATTGTAGAGATGAGGTCCGGCCAAGTTGCCCAGGCTGGTCTCGAACCTGTGGGGTCAGGCAGTCCTCTCACCTCAGCCTCCCAAAGTGCTGGGATTATAGGCGTGAGCCACTGTGCCCGGCCTAGATTTTCTTACCAAGATCTAAGACCTGTGAATTTTCAGTTCCATAAATGCAAACTGAGGCTGGGTGCAGTGGTTCATGCCTGTAATCCCAGCACTTTGGGAGGCCGAGGTGAGAGGACTG